TATTAGGCGGGACAGAGAAAATCAGATTATCAAATTAAATCAGGAAAATTATATTCAAAAGATATTAAGTAGGTTTGGCTTTGATAAATCATATCCACAACGTACACCAATGAATACTTCTCAAGTAGTTAATAATGAGAGAAAATTGAGAGAAACAGAATATGATAATGGGACTTTGGAAAGGACAGAAACAAAAGCAAACATTCCTTATAGAGAGGCTGTAGGTAGTCTTTTGTATTTGGCTGGTGCTACGAGACCAGATATTGCATATGCGGTCAATGTGATAAGCAGACATCAGGTAAACCCTAAAGAAAGTGACTGGGAAATGGTAAAAAGAATTTTCCGGTATTTGAGAGGTACTACGGGCTTAGGTCTGAGATATTCGGGAGAGAACAATGACATTCAGGGTTATTCTGATGCGCGTTTTTCTGATTGTAAAGATTCTATCACAACTTGTGGATTTGTGATTAGACTGTTTGGTGATTCGATCATTTGGCGAACTCACAAACTACAGTAGCACTCTCCACGTGTGAAGCTGAGTATGTCGCAATGAGCGAGGCGAGTCGAGAAATGATATCGTTGCACAACTCTTTGAAACTGATACTGGTTGATCCCCCCGTTCCAATGATCTTAAGGTGTGACAATAAAGCCACAATTGTTAGTGCAGAAACAAATGGAGGAATGAAATTGAGACACATTGTGGAGAACAAATTACATTATATAAAGGAATGTGTTAAAAAGAATTATATAAAAATCATTTGGATTGGCTCAAGGGATCAGCTAGCTGATGTTTTCACCAAACCATTGACGTTTGAAACACACAAGCGTTTGGTGGATCTAATAATGAACGTAAATATCTAAATTATTTCTTTCTGTTTATCTAGGAAGTAACCGATTAGGCGAGATGGAAACTGAGGAGTTAAAACCAACTGAAATTACCTGACAAGAATACTGAGGCGAGATAAAGTTACCAAAAATAAGAATAAGAAATTTTGTGATTAACGAGAATAGAATACTAGGAGAGAAGAAGACTGGAGAGGAAAAGAGGATACTGCCTATGGCGGGAGGGAGTGTTGAAATATAGCGCCCTACGCCAGTCTCCCTTTTTACCGACAGTGTGGCAGACTGTGTCGCCACGGCGCCGTTGCGCCTCTCATTGATATACTCGTACTATGCATCACTTGTGCCGTGACCGTTGTCGCATTATGTGTCTGAATAAAGGTTAATTACTTTTACGATAATAAAACTGTGTTTAATCGTTATTTCAATCCTAAATAACCCTTCAGAAAGCAATTCTTTGCTTATTTTGACAAAATTAATGAAATAATTTACTACCTAAAAATGAAACAAATATTTTTGTAAAAAAAACTGGGCCAAAGAAAAGTCCCGTTTGGTTCTTACTGGAAAATAGAAATTTTTTAATGAAAATGTAAAGAATCGAAAAGAAATGCCAAATCAGAAATGTCAAATGAATAGTCATAAAGTACGCTCACATTTCTATAAGAATAGTAGATTATGTCATAAGACCGATTACTACCGCTATTTACCGATAGCGGCATTGTGAACACATGGTGGATTACGTTTCTCGTCCAAATTTCAGCGGTCGGTAGTGCACAGGGTTGCCAGATGTGGCTATAAATAGCCAAACTGGCGATTTTGGAACCTTTCTGGCGGGACAATTTCTTCGCCAACCCGCCAATTCGCCACGTGGCGATTTTCGGGAATTTCGGGAGAAGCCAACTCGCCACTTAGCAAATTTTGAAAATATTGAAGGAAAAAAATGGAAACAAAAAATTCTCTCTGTAGCCTTCTCAACGAATTTCGTTCGACAATTGAATTTTCGCGGGTATTCTTGGACGGTGACTCTTGCCGGCATTGTTGTCAGCAGTGTCTGGCAGCACTAGTTATAGTAACTTGTAATTGGAAACTCTCCACAGATAGATCACGTGATCTCTGTTTATATTTTGATTTCCAGCCGCGGGTTGCCGGTTACAAGTCCGTACAAGTCTACGAGTCGTTGTTCCAAGTAGTATCGAATCGTCTCAGAACCCCTTGACAAATTGCAGTGTGTCTCTGAGCAAAATGGTGTTGATAAAAAAAAAACCTACGGTAATCAAAGAATCAAATAAGCCAGTTGATAAACAGAGAAAGAAACCTATGAAACGTAAGAATGATGAATCGGACGAGTCCGTGTCTTCACCCTCACAAGTTTCCAAGAAAGCGAGAAAAAGTGTTAAGAAAGAAGTGGCAAGACCTTTTAACAGCAGTTGGAAGAAAGAAGAACAATTTGCAGGTAATGTAGTGGAAATTTGGAATAGATAGGATTTTATGTATTGATGACATTCATTGTTTGTAGGATGGTTAGCTCCAGCGCCAGAGAGTGTTTTCATCAAGAACAAAAGAGAGGCCTTTTGTAGATGGTGTCAGAAAGGGTTACGTGCCCACAAGGCAGACCTTGAAGTCCACAGTCAGACACTACGTCACAGGCAACGAGCAGATGAACTTGATACTTCAAAACAGAAGAATCTAGCACAGTGCGGTAAGACACTCAATGCAGTTCATTCCTACATTTTCGGTTATTATGAGTTTATCTCGGATGAAAGTCATTTCGGGAGGAGATCTGTAAGGTACTTTTTTGTAGCTTGTAAAATCCTCTCAAAAAAATGTTCTTTAACATTTTTTCCTAAAATCATTCTTCATAAAGTTAGTTGAATATTTTGAGAAATATAAAAAAATTTACTTGTTCCGTTTTACCACTGCATGACTGACTTTTTCTCGTCGCTGAATTCCAATCACTCCTGTTTCCTCACCCTTTAATTTCATCATGTATTCTAGGTGTTGATAAAAAATCTGACCTTTCAAAGAAAACAGACATTGGTCTGGCAATACACGTGGCATGTCATAGCTCTGTACGTACCATCGATCATTTGTCTGACCTATTGAAAAAGCTCGGTATTGGAAGTGTTCTTGAGAAGTTACAATTACATCGAACCAAAACCTCTAAGCTCATTTTGAATGTGATAGCACCTGCGTTCATGAAAGAGCTAGTTGACGATGTTGGTGAAGAGTGTTTTTCAATAATAGTTGATGAATCAACGGATGTATCTACTTCCAAATACATGGCTTACGCCATCAAATATTTCAGTCAACGAACTCAACGCATTATCACCAATTTTTTTGGATTCACGAGGGTAGGATCGGCTACAGCAGAACAACTTCATCTGGACTTCAAAGAATTTGTCAGATAGTGAGTTGGATATCAAGAGAATGATTGGCATTGATACAGATGGAGCGTCCAATATGTGCGGCCACAATAACAGTTTATTTACCCTTTTACGAGAAAGCCAGCCCAGCTTGCAGCTTATTAAGTGCATGTGTCATTCTGTTGCTTTGGCTGCTTCAAAAGCTGCAGATGAATTACCCTCTGAGGTTGAGAATTTAGTGAAACAAAGTAAAAACTACTTCTCTCACAGCTCACTTCGTCTGGAAAAGTGGGAGGCATTATACAAGGAGCTGAATGAGGGTAAAACGCCCCTACGGTTGGTTGCGTTGTCGACTACACGCTGGTTGGCTTTTTACAATGCTGTATCCGTGATTCTGAAGCAATGGAAGGAATTGAAGGAATTTTTCACCAAGGCAGCAACATCATTTGATCAGAAAAACAGAAGTACGAATGTTAGCAGAGACATACAAGAAGGATGATGTGTTATTGTATTTGGAACTTGTGGAGACTGTTCTCAGAGATGTCATGGCTTTAAATATCGCTTTCCAAAAATCGAATGCTGATATTACTGCTCTTCATGATGATCTACGTACGTCGATACTTTCTCTGGCCCGACGAATTTTCAAACCAGTATTTCTCAGACCAATAGTACGTGAATCTAATCCATCAAATATCAAATTACATCAAGCTGATCTGGATGCTGTGAAGAGAGCCATTGATAAAGCAGGCGATTCATTCGAAAATTCTCTCTTATCAATTGATGCTGTAGACTTTGGTCTAAAGTTCTCAAATCATGCTGAACAATGCACCTTAAAGAAAACAATCACAACACAGGACTTGAACATTGTGAAACAGAGGGCTCGATCGTACATTCTTAAGATTGTTGCCCAATTGGTTAAACGATTACCACATAATCTTGGAGTTATTGAGAAAATCAATTGCTTTACCCCTGCTGTATGTTTGGCCCAAACAAATTCAATCTCTGCCAGAGATCTGCCCTGGGAGCTCGCAGGTAATTTATCCTCAACGTCTATATTACAAATATAATTCTCTTCTGAAAAGCTACATTCTATTTTCTGTTACAGATGAAACCATCGATCGGGATGGAGTGGAATCTCAATTGAGAAAACTCCAAACAAAAAGGCTAGCTGATATTTCTCTAGATTTCAGTGATGCAGTGAGCCCTGAAGAATTTTGGATTGGGGTAAGGCGACTGAAGAATAAAAATGGAGAGAGAACTTTCAATGACGTGGCAAACTTTGCTCTAAGAGCTCTGACTTTACCGACTAGTAACGCTGATATTGAGCGTATCTTCAGTGTTATGACAATAGTCAAGAATAAATTGAAGAATCGAATGCTTTTGCCAATGCTGGTGGCAATAATTCGTATAAAAGTCCACCTGAGAGTTTATGGTCACTGTTGTCATGACTATGAACCCACACGTCATATGCTCGACTTATTTAACAGCAAATTGTATGAGAAGAATGCAATGGAGAAAAATAAACAGGGAGAAGAGTTAACTCTTACACTTGAGGCTCTAGAACTCGATGAAGCTGCTGAGATGTTCGATTTGCTTGCACAATTCGAAGAGAAATGTCTCCACTAGTCCTCACGCAATGACTGAACTTGATGACTTAATTTAACTTAATTCTTGTTACTAAATTCGAGATAATTTATCTAAGAGATAACAGTTTATGTTTCAAAAATGTATCAAAGTTCATGACTACAAAGAAAAATATTGAACTTTTTATTAATAAACTTGAAAATATCAACGAAAATTCAATTTATCCACTTAATCCCTCTTGAATTTTTCCCCCATCCACAGTGGCGACTTCTCGGCGTTTTCGTTCCATGCCAGTGGCGGGTTCTGGCGATTTCCGCCTGGGGCGCTGGCGAGGAGGGATCCTCATCATCTGACAACCCTGGTAGTGCAAGGCACGGCTCTGCTGCCCACAGCAATTATTGGTTTCCTATTGTTTTCTTGATATAAAATGCCTACCAGTTACATCACTATGCTCACACTGACGCTGGAAAATATTTTTAACTTTGTAAAGGACAATGAACAGTCAAGGAACATCAAATAAGGGCAGAAAGTCTTGGTCTCCAAAAAATGGTTTCTTTGTGATGTACCATCAAGAAGTCCCAAAGAGATTCACATTTATTTGCTGTGTCTACAAATAAGTGGTTTGATTGAATCAACTTCTGAAATAACGGACATTATCGATGTCAACCCTCACACACAATCAATATGGATACGTGTAAATTGAGAATACAGATCGTATATACTCCGAAATTGGAGTTGGAGTGAAAACTTAATTACCTGCTAAGACAAAATCCTCAAACGTGAAATGTGAATTACATACACGTGAATTTTTCAATAATTTCCTCATTTTTAGGTGTTCAATTCCCAAATCCCGAATAGAAATAACATTTATTCCACCATTATTTTTCGAGGTTATTACTGACATTCGGTCGATCTCATACTGGAATCCGATGAAAATAGAAATTTGAGTTATTCACCGATGTACTCGTACATCCTTCAACACAACATTTCTTCCGAACTATTTTCATTTGTATTTTTTGCACTTCTTCAGGGGAACCCATTATCAGAAAACTTCAGGATGTTCACGTAGATGTAGTCAATAGTCATTCCAAGAGATGTTCAATGTTTCCGCCATCAACATGAAAGCGAAACTCCAGCCGACGTCGACAGTTTTGCACGACAGATCGAAGGAAGTCAGGTGAAATGCTCACAATGGTATTTCTGATGCACATTTAGAAATCTGCGAGTATTTTTTGCAAGATAAATCACCAGTATTCACGGAAAATGCGAATTTCGCTGTGAGGCAGGGTTTCTGCACGACGACGCACCACCGCACTTTACCCAATCTGTCAGGGATTATCTAAACATTCTTTTCCCCATACGATGGATTGGTTGTGGTGATCCCGTTCAGTAGGTTCCTCGATTTCCTGATTTCACGATCCTCGATTTTTATCTGTAGGATTACCTTAAAGATTCAGTCTAATCGACCAACAACACCCGCACATCTGCCAAAGCGTATCAGAAATGCGAGCGCGAACATTTCGCCTGCAGTCTTTCCATCCGTCATGAGAAACTTTCAATGTCAGCTTGAGTTGAGCCTTCATGTTAATGGCGGGAACATTGAACATTTTCTGAGATGACTATTGACATCTACGTGAACATACGTAGACAAAATGTGGAGCAGGACCCTAATAAAGACTTGTAATAAATATTTCATAGAAAATCGATGACGTCATGAAATATGGCATGGTTGATTTTTTCTCGGCTAGATGAACAATTTTTTTCGTGGTGAAAAATGTTGTTCCCATTTAGAAAAACATACTTTATGCTTGTAGGATAGAAACATAAACTATGGAGGCCTGGATTCCATCGGCACTGAGTTTCCCTCTTCGAGCCATACAACTTTCATTTGACCTTTTTTACTGTCTCATGTTTCCTCAAAAAGTTATACAACTATCCTGTTTCAAGATGGCACACTCTAAAAAAAAGTTACTACTCACCAGTACTGAATTCTACTTGGGAGAAGTTTTCTTGTGAAAAGTTGGGAACCTACTTGTCCCAAGTACTTTTCATGTCCTTGGGTGAAGTACAATATTTGCTAAGCAAGTAGGAAAAGTACTAGGAGGAAGTACTTTTATTACTTCCTGTCAGCATTTTTCTTACTTCTCACAAGTACTTCTAATGCTTGGAGCAAGTAATTTTTCTACTTCTCGCGAGTACTTTTATGACTTGATTCCAGTACTTTTGGTTGGTTATTTTGTTGGGGAATTTCATATAATTAATTATCATTCTCATTATCGTTCTCATTATCATTATCATTATCATTCTCAGATGACAATGACCAAATTTCATCGAGGGGAGGTTACGATGAGTTTAAAAATCGCGAGATATTGCAGTAAGATTTATCACACATTGATGATTGATTATTTATATATGTTGAAAGACGA